ACTGTTGCTCCGCCTTGGTCTGGTGCCCCCGCTCCCCTGCTCCCCTATCCCGCTGCAGCCAAAGCCCACCATGTTCCGCGCTCTGCCACCTGCTGCTGACGCCTGTCATGTTCTGCATGTGCTCCCTGGTGGTCAGCACACGTCATAGCAACCGGTTGTTTAGTTGTTCTGCCGTTTGGTCTATTTGCATAATAGGGTTATATACACACACATATATGTATATATGTATATGTGTATATGTATGTATATATGTGTGTGTGTGTGTATGTGTGTGTGTGTATATATATATGGAAGTTAATGGAAGTTGGCTATTTCCTCCCCATTACATGTAAAATGTGTAAATTGTTTGTTGACTGAGTCAAGTTTAAATTGTTTGGTAGAAACTGTTTTTAAGTACTGCATCTGGAGGTTAATGGAGTGTGCCTGATCTTTTCTAAGGTTGTGTCTATATGTGGGTCATGTTTGCTTACCATCGCCCTTTCAAGTAAGCTAATTGCATTTAAGAGAAATTACCAGAGTCATAGAGTCTATTCACTGCTTTGTTTCTCCTTTACACACAAGACTGAGGAAAGTCTAAAGGAAAGACTTTTTAAACATTTAGAAAATGTATTCTGACAAACATTTATTTGTTGTTTTACTAGTTCTAGTCATTGTGGTATATATAATCTCAGGAATTAGTTTTGATTGTTTGGGGTATACCTATTTTTCTTATATGAAGGTCTAGATCTGCCCTGTCTAATATGGTAGCGCCTAGTCACATGTAGCAAATTAAATTAAAATTAAGTAAAATTAAATACAATTAAAATTTAGTCCCTCAATTGGGCAATAAGTTAAATGCATTAAGAACAGGATCAAGTTTAATCCTTGTACTATGAGGTAGGTATTACTATCTTTATTTTATACAGGAGAAACTTGAGGGCCAGAAAGGTCAATTAATGTGTTCAAGGATAATACACGGAGCCTAACTGGCTGGCTTTGCTTCACATCCACGTGGATGTTTCTGCTAAGTGTGATCTTTTGCTCATCTGTTGTATCAATTCTTCTCACTATTGGTCTCACTGTCTCTTCTCTACCAGTTTTAGAACATTTAGTACCCACATTTGTACTATTATAACTTTTAGTGCCTCTATAATCTACTACATATGTTTGTGACTAGGAAGATATGCTTAATAGTGTGGAGAACTTTTTAGAGGACTATACTTGATAATACTGCATTAATAAAGGATATTTACTAAGAGAGTAGATTTCAGGTACTCTCATTAGACACACACACAAAAGGTAACTATAAAGCTAAAACAGGGCTCAGCAAACCTTTTCTGTGAAGAACAAGATCATAAATATTTTAGGCCTGTGGGCTATGCTGCCTGTGGCAACTATTCAGCTCTCACTCTGTGGTGGAAAAGCCCTTACAGACAATACGTAAACAAATGGGCATGGCTAGGTTCCAACAAAATTTTATTTACAAAACAGGATGTTTCGGGTCCTGAGTTAAATGGTATTTAATTTCTATCATCTAAGCTAATGTGTTTTATTTGATTTATTCATTTATGTATTTAAAGTGCATTGATGTATAAAATACATTGCTTAGATAAGGGAAGCTAGGATAGATAATTTAAAAGATATAATTTGAATTTAATGGCCTTGGGTCTGTGGGCCTGTTTTCATTGAGAAGTACTTGAATTACCCAGAGTTTTTAACTTTGTCCATGGGTAGGTGTATGAATTTTTTCAAGTTACTAGATCTATTTGATTTTTTTTTTTTTTTTTTTGTCAAATGGTAAGAATAACACTTAACAGAGCTGTTGAAAGAATGGCATGGAAGACCATTTTACTAGTAGAAGATAGCTGGTGGTGCTGGTATTGTCTTCTTGGGTCTCCTGTATTTTCCAGATAAACTAGGTTTTATACAGAAACTTGACAAAGGCAAAAAGAAAGGAATTTACTTTTCAGATGGAAGTGGGAAAGCTATCATATCATTATTTTCTCTCTGTAAAAGATGATAATATAAAAAAATCCAATTATTTTGGGTGGGGAGAAATGACAGTGGAGGAATATATGCAGGGGCTGAGTGGGTAGATAAAACGTCTGAAAATGAGGACAAGAAAATGAAACTTTCTTCAACAGTGGAGAGGTAGGGTGAAGAGAAGAAGGAAAGAACTTAGGGATGGGACCCATCTATGGGAGCAGAACCTAGAAGTAGGTTTGGATGTGTGAGGAGCTAGGAACTGAGAAGGAAGGGGAAGTCAGTAATCCTAATATATAAAAGGCCAGGGTTGTAATGACCAATCACGACAGAAGGCTGAACAACCTGGAAGTCCTTCAGGAAGTCCTGCAGTCAGAGCTGGGTTGCTGTGGCAACCCAGCATTGACTGCCCCACCGCAGCCTGGCAACTCAGCACTGACTGCCCTGGGGGCTGAGACCCAGAGAGAGAGGCAGGGTCTGATCCGCAGCCTCAGTGGCAGTTGTTGATCAGTACTTGCCTCTCTCTTTCTCTTCCTCTTTCTTTCTGAGCTTCCCCAGCAACTGGGCCTTTCTTTCTCTCCCGGCCTCCATGGGAGCTGCTGTTCAGCCCTGCCTCTCTGATCAAACCCAGAGATAGGCCCGGAGATGCTGACTGACATACGAACTGACCAATCAGAACCAAATGGGGGTGCTGTGATGAACCAATGGCTGCCTAGGAGACGGAGCTTGTGACGCTGACTGGCATAGACACCAACCAATCAGAACCAAATCTGGGTGTTGTGGAGAGCCAGTGGCTGCCTAGGAGGCAGAGCTTCTGACGCTGCCTCCCTGCAGGGGAGGGCAGTTGGGGGTGAGATAAGGCCAGCAGGGCAGGGCAGTTGGGGTCAACCAGGCCGGGAGGGGAGGGCAGTTGGGGTCAACCAGGCCGGGAGGGGAGGGCAGTTGGGGACGAGATCAGGCCAGCAGGGGTGGGCAGTTGGGAGTGATCAGGCAGGCAGGCAGGTGAGCAGTTAGGAGCCAGTGATCCCAGATTGCAAGAGGGATGTCTGACTGCCGGTTTAGAACAGGGATCGGGCCTGTTGGACATCCCACAAGGGTTCTCCAATTGGAGAGGGTGCAGGCTGGGCTGAGGGAACCCCCCTTCCCCCGTGCATGAATATTGTGCACCGGGCCTCTAGTATATGAATAAGTACATCAAAAACACCTTTTCCAGAAGATTAGTGAACTTTGTGTAACAGCATTTGCCTTTGGAAGAAATACTTTCTTGTGTCTCGGCAAGGATCCTGAACTGGGTAGCTAACAACTTAACAGTCTGACTGCTAACATGTATAAGGTGTGGCACATGCATATTTAAAATTCCTATCTTCTGCATTGACAAGCCACTGAGCACTAGAGATGGGAAGACACATTTCCATTGAAGCTGAGCCAAAAACACTTTGAAACAATCCTGTTAAAATAGTGACATAAATGCAAAAATCCAGAGAGAGTTCCTGGATTTCTTTGAAACCTCCTCATATGACAGCAGTATCAGACAGAGATGCTATGCACAGCTTCTAATATTATTTGGAGCTAGATATTCTAAGTTCCATTTTTGAATTGGATGAACTGTGCTGCCTGGGTCCATACTAGATATGCTTTTTATGGTCACTTGGAGTAATATAAATCTTTCCCAATGCAGCTTAATAACCAGAAGTTATGTATTTTCTTGGTATGATTGTAAGGCCCTTGGTATAAAATAACCACAAAGTTATATGCTTTAAAGTAGCCCAATAGGTAAAAATTCCAAAATGTAGAAGATGGATTTGGGTGATATAAGTCTGTGGTACAGTTTTTATGCACATAGGGATATCACGTCTAAAGATTTTTATAACTGAGATCCCTGAGTCAATTTAAAACTTGCTTCTGTACCACTGGGGATAGAAAGCTCTGTTAAATGGTTCAGAATCCTTTCATGTTGTCTTTTCTCTCTGAGTACCTTGGGGTTTGGTCAGTTGTGGCTGGGTCTTTGTCACCTCCTCTGTGACATGAATGGCCTACATTAGATGACCGCTGGGTGACTTTCACCTCCAAAATTCGGTGCTCTTACTAAATTCTAGGCATTTTTTAAAAAAAGATCTGGTCAGTACTCTTTCTGGCTGCTCTGAATCCTTCTCAAGTAAGTTTATTCCTGCTTCTGGCTTATTGTGGGTGCATATTTGAAACTTGCTTCTTTACAAAACAAAAATGTAATCGATGGGTTGCTGCAATGGTATTGTTTAAATGACATGACCAGATGTGACAATAAGAACGATTTGCATTTATAAAAATAATTTCAGCTGTACCTCAGTATAGTCTATCACTTGGTGTGATTTTCCTTGTTTTTCATTTTTATTTTTAAAAACATTAAATAAAAATAACCACCACCTACAGTGGTGTATTTTATTTGAAATGTCAAAAATGTTTTTAATATCATTTTGTAATATATTGAAAAAATCTAGAAGTCATGCTCTGTCTCAGGTAAGTAGAACTTTGTAGTTATGAGGGAGAAAGGCAGAAATGCGCAGGATGGCTGTTATCTCTTCTGCTGTACTTCAGTGGTGTATATGTAATCATGTGCTTTCTTTAATGTGAGACTCTTGTAGGGTTCAACTAAGTTCTGTCTTTTAGATGATCTATCTGAAGTTTATTGGTTCTAGATTGTAGTCAAAATAAAATAAATTTGTCACATTTAAAGTCTGGATTCAGCCCAGCTGGTTCAGAACATGACATGACGTGATAATGGAAATTTTCTTTATCCCAAGGATCTAAATGGCAAGAGGTGGACATCTAGAGATTAGGGATCTAAAAGTGATGTTCAAGATTCTTGTGATTTAGAGCAGTCAATATTAAGCCTCTGTTGGCAGATTTTCTTAGCTGGATCTTCAGTCTGCGTGGAGGAGGTAGTGCAGGGAACCAAGATGTCGGTGAGACAGTGGGGGAGCTTATGGGAAACATGAAAGACTCATTTACTTTCCTCAGAGTGAATCTTAACTTGTGCTTTGTATGTGTGTTCTTTCCAGAATCCATGAAAGAAGTTTCCACAATGGTTTGTTCAGCTCTCAGAAGAGTTGCCCACGTGCGTGTCTACCTGGTGAGGATGGCAAGTAGTGTCTCCAGAGGCCACCAGCATCCGGCCTTGGGCTCAAGGCCTGCTACTTCAGAGTCTGCTGCCCGAGGAGCTCTAGGTGGTGTGGTGGAGCTGTTGGGCCAGTCCTACCCTCAGGATGACTACAGCAATCTCTCCCAGAAAGTCCTCTCCAGAGTTGGCAGAAATCTGCACAACCAGCAGCATCACCCTCTTTGGTTGATCAAGGAGAGGGTGAAGGAGCACTTCTACAAGCAATATGTGGGCCGCTTTGGGACTCCGCTGTTCTCAGTCTATGACAACTTTTCTCCGGTGGTCACGACCTGGCAGAACTTTGACAGCCTGCTCATCCCAGCTGATCACCCCAGCAGGAAGAAGGGAGACAACTATTACCTGAATCGGACTCACATGCTCCGAGCGCACACCTCTGCGCACCAGTGGGACCTGTTGCATGCTGGGCTGGATGCCTTCCTGGTGGTGGGTGATGTTTACAGGCGTGACCAGATCGACTCCCAGCATTACCCAGTTTTCCACCAGTTGGAGGCCGTGCGGCTCTTCTCCAAGCACCAGGTGAGTCTTGAGAGTTTTCATGGTTGAAGGCATGCATAGTCTTGTTGAGGTCACTACAGTTTATCGCAATGAAACCAGAACAGTTGTTCTTTGCAATTGTGAATCACCCAACCTTGATGACATCCTTTGTATAGGCTAGGCCTCGATATTTTTTGACTGGCTTGTTGTGTAACTACAGATATTGGTAGGCTTTTGTTTTCTCTTGTCTGTCCTTTTCCTTTCAATACTGATCTGCTTTTCTCTGAGTTTCTTCTAAAGAATGAGTAGTCAGTGGCTCAGATTTACTCTCAATCCAAGGTGGGTAAACATGCAGCACTGAAACCTGTGGTGAATTTATGCTATTTTAATACATTTCTTATCCTACCGTAGAGGGGACTGGCGATTTATTGGTTTAGATTGTAAACTGTTCTTGTTCCCATGTTCTTTCCTTAACCTCCCCTGCTTTACAATTGTGGACGCTTTACATTGTTTTCTTTGTGAGATGTCTTAATTGTTGCTACTCTTGAAGTATATGTTTGGATGCATTGAGCTGTTTTGATGAGAAAATCTGATACTCTTTTTTTTTCCTTTTAATATATTTTTATTGATTTCAGAGAGGAAGGGAGAGGAAGAAAGAGAGATAGAAACATCAATGATGAGAATCATTGATCAGCTGCCTCCTGCACGCCCCCTACTGGGGATTGAGCCCGCAACCCTGGCATGTGCCCCTGGGACTCTTCAGTTGGCAGGCCAATGCTGTATCCACTGAGCCAAACCAGCCAGGGCAGAAAATCTAATATTCTGATCATTCTCAAAAGACCCAACTTATTTCAGCTATTAGCATATATCTTAATGTATTGTGTGTATTGTGTACATCTTCCTTTCTTTTTTTCTCCTTTTTTTTGCAATTTACGAAAATCCCTAAAAGCTTGAGTCTATTTCCTAAAAATCTGCAATACTATTTGTCTTTTATTCATATATTTTTAAACCATCTGTTTTTCTTAAGAAACAAATGGAATTAAATGAGACACAGGAAATATTTTTATTACTACCTTAGCACTTCTTCCAAACACATTAATTGAACCAAGAGGAATAATTATTTTCATAAAACTCCCTCTTGCCCACACAAGCTAAATGGGTTGTTGGATATGAAAAGGAATAATGTAAGACCCTTAGGCTAATAGTGACCATTGCTCTGTTGTATTAAGCATCATGTTGTAGGACACAGCTGTTTGCTTCAGGATGTGCAATTTCATGTGAATCTCTGCTAATATGACAACAGGTTACTTTTACTAGTATACAAAAAGGCTATCCAAGCTTGGTCTTAGAGCCCCTTGATTAACATTCTTACTGCTTAGAATTGCTGCTTTCTAAGTTAGGAATAATAACTATTTTTTAAAAATATGCTTTATTGATTTTTTACTGAGAGGAAGGGAGAGGGATAGAGAGTTAGAAACATCCATGTGAGAGAAATATCAATCAGCTGCCTCCTGCACACCCCCTACTGGGGATGTGCCCATAACCAAGGTACATGCCCTTGACCGGAATCAAACCTGGGACCCTTCAGTCCATAGACCGACGCTCTGTCCACTGAGCCAAACTGGTGAGGGCAGGAATAATAACTATTAATAAGGATATAGATGTATTATGAAATGAAAAGGAAATTAACAAAGACAGATCAAAATCTGGGAAATACGATCAAGTGATAGAACGTCACCTATAATTAATGCGCTAGAGGAGATGTGATGCCAGTAATATGATGTCTAAGTCACGGCCATGGGCAGGTACTCAGCCCAGCCTACCTCATTAGAGAAATAAAAAAGGGGAGTGCTCTGATTTGTAAGCCTGCAGGCCGTGCAAGTGACAGTGGAAGCTGCAGGGCTTACACTAGCATTTTAATGGGGGAAAAATCAAGGCTGCTTTAGAAGGTGGAAAATAGGAAGAGTAGTAGGAAGCTAATTCTTATCTTGTGCCACATTTGTTTTGGGTCCAGTCCAACTTAGTGGGTAGTCGGCATGGCTAAGGTAACCTGATGCTACTGTGCATTCTGTCTTATAGTTTAAAAAAACACACACTCATATATATGTATGTATCTAAGTTATACTTTAATAAAGTACTTCCATGTTCATTGTTTCATTTACTCTTGTTAATAATAACCTTGTGAAATAGATTATTTCCACTTCAACTACAAGGAATCTGAAATTCTGGAAAATTCAATGACTTGCCCAAGGTTACCCAACCCATTGGTTGCAGAGCTAAAACTTAACTCAGTTCATTGCCCATTCTACTGTATTCTGTTGCTTTTTATGGAGCTGCTTTGTGAGCGGGACCTGCTTATGACCTAAGTAATGCTTCAGATCCAAGAATGGTGTGGGGGAGAGAGGGGTGGTGGTTTTTTAATTCCTGGCCATAACGAAAGTGTTGGTTCTAAGTCTGACCTAACCTTATTAGATAGAAAACTTTATTACGTAGAAATTTGGTAGACCCCATTTAAATCATACGACCACAGTTAACATTAATAAGCAAAATGGATAGGATGTAGTTTAAAATGTACTTGCAGTATATTTAGTTTTTGTCTCAGGAGGCAGCATGGACGGCCTAGTGGTTAAAATTTACACGTGGCCCTGACCGGTTTGGCTCAGTGGATAGAGCATTGGCCTGGGGACTGAAGGGTCCTGGGTTCGATTCCGGTCAAGGGCATGTACCTTGGTTGCGGGTACATCCCCAGTAGGGGGTGTGCAGGAGGCAGCTGATCGATGTTTCTCTCTCATGGATGTTTCTAACTCTCTATCCCTCTCCCTTCCTCTCTGTAAAAAAAATCAATAAAATATATTTTTAAAAAAATTGACTTGTAGTATATTTAATTTTAAATATATTTATCTAAAATTTTTAAAAACTCTATAAGGTAATGAATTAAGTGTTCAATTTAAGATGCTAAAAGCAAGCAGCACTGTTCTAAAAAAGCACAAGGGAGGTGGGCTGTAAAATTTTTAATAATCCCAAATCTTACAAAACAGATGTAGCCTCTGGAATAGCAAAACCCCAAACCACAGGCAAAATCTATAAGACAACTGGGTGACAAGGTCTTTCTAGGATCTTTTCTTTTCTTTTTCTCTATTTTTTTTAATCGTTACCTGACATATTAGAGAGAGAGCATGGGAGAGAGAGAGAATGAAACATTGATGTGAGAGATAAACATCAATTAGTTGCCTTTTGCACACACCTAGATTAGAAATCGAATCCACAGCCTGGGTTTGTGTCCTGACTGGGAGTTGAACCTGCGACCTTTCTGTATACAAGACAATGCTCCAACCAACTGAGCCACCCGACCAGAGCTTCCTAAGGTCTTCCCAAATGGGTGGGAACTCACAACTGACAGCTAGAAGATCTGCATTGTGTCAGAAACTGAGGTAGCAGAGGAAAGCAGTGGGCCTGAGAAGAGGAGAGCTTCCTTAGAGTTTCTCAGGGAACAAACTTTGGACAGCCAAATTTACTAGAGGCTTTGACATTAACTACTAGTAATAAAGTGTTCACTGATGACCATTAACTCACAGAAAGTGGGGCAGCCAGATTTACATCTCTGGATAGAAAAATAGAATGCTAATTGTAAAGTCTTGCCAGGAAATTTAGAATTCAATCTGATTAAAATTTAGATCTAACTACCAAATTTATAGGAAGTATAGAGGACAAAGAAACATGTTAAACTACACCATGGAAATGTAATAAAGCAAAATCCAGCCTGTGGCAAATTTTATAGCACTGCTAACCAAGAGGTGATCTGCACAATGAAATAAATAGAAGAATCAAAAGTAAGCACTTAAAAATGTGTAAGCAATGTTTAGTGTTTAGAAATGTTTAAGCCAACATACTTAAGCACATTATTAATGGGTTTCTTTTGTTGAATAGCATATGAACTGGTCCAGGTATTCTTAATGCTCCTGATAAGTTGCATGTGCTCAGTCTGTTTAGTACTATTATGTGCAGTAGGACCTGTATCAGTTCAAGCTAGACTGGAAATCTAAAACTGTCCCTTCATCATAGTTTGAGAAGCACTGCTCTACAGGATAAATGATTCCATTGCTTCAAATAAATTGTAAAAAAACCCAAAAGTATGGACAGAATCACCATGTGTAGATCCCACCAAATAAGACATCTTTAAAGAAAAAAAAAATTGAGACCATTGGAAATTGAACACTAAGTGAATATTTGAATTTGAGTAGTTCTTTTTTTTTTATTTTCATTTTTAAAGGTCTGATAATGGTATTTTATTTTTATAAAGTCACTTTATTTTAGAGATACATATTGAACTACCTGTGAATGTAATATTCAGATGTCTGGGGTTTTCTTTTTTTTTTTTTTTTTTTAATATATTTTATTCATTTTTTACAGAGAGGAAGGGAGAGAGATAGAGAGTTAGAAACATCGATGAGAGAGAAACATCGATCAGCTGCCTCCAGCACATCTCCCACTGGGGATGTGCCCGCAACCAAGGTACATGCCCTTGACCGGAATCGAACCCGGGACCCTTCAGTCCGCAGGCCGACGACGCTCTATCCACTGAGCCAAACCGGTTTCGGCAGGGGTTTTCAAAATAATATGGAAATAGGCATTTGGGGATGAGGTTGGTCATGAATTATTAATTATTGAATCTGGGTGTTGGGTACATGAGGAATCATTATCCTTTCTATCTTTGCATCTGTTTGAAAATTTCCTAGTAAAGGGCCAAAGAAAAGGATTGAAGGAAAACGTTGGGATGAGTTAGTCAAAAAAAAAAAAAGTATGATGAGTAGGAACTGGGCCCAGGAATGTAAGAAGGTATCAAACAGCCATGAAATGATCCATGGTTTCTTGGGGAGGATAACTATTAAGATTAAAAAAACAAAAACCAGGAGGCAGGAAATCTATATATATAAAAGCCCAGCGACCATTACGGGGAATGACCATTGGCTATGATGTGCACTGAGGCAGCCACCCAGCCTGATCCGGGGCCCAATCGGCACTCTAAGCTGGCCCCACCTCCG